CATTTCCGATTAATTTGCCGGGTACACCGCCTAAACTCTAAACAATGGCGGCAGACACCGAACCTATATATACCCACATAACCTGAAAAAGTTTCATGATATATACTGCTTTATTCTACGAGTTCAGAGTATGCACAGCGAAGTTTATGTGAGTAGCAATAAGGGGTGTTACAAGAACCTTTACACTTTGCCTGAACTATGACGTAATTTGACATATATATGTGAACTGTGTCGATTATCTTTCCGCCGCACAACTGAGGTTCCTGTTTCGCCTTCTTGAAGGGTGTCACCATAATACTAGTTCTTTTACAGTTGCTAAATGCAATAGTTCTTATTATTCCAAAATTTTTTGCCCTACCAAACATTATCCGACTATCGTCGAAGATCGACATTAACACAAGGCACTAATTGGCGCATCTTCCAGATTATCGTTGTACGTGTATTTAACCCTAGCTTCATTTTGAGAAAAGGGTAGACAGCAGGTGCCATTCAAATATTTATTTATAATTTCCTATGGAAGTCAAGATGTTTAATGAATGTGCTTTCAGCCCCAGTTATCATTGCTGTTTCTAGACCCTTTTAGGATTCGTGACGTTCTCTGATGATTACCTTACTTTCAGAAAAAACCTTCGCCGTATTTATATGGTAAAAACGAAATAAATGGAAAATACGTAATGTACTGAATTTGGTAGGAGGCTGAATGACGTATTAGCGGATGTAGTATACGGATACGTATATGACCATTTCAAGTACTTCGGAATTATGTTGACTAACGATGGCGAAATTTATCCTGAAGTGAATCGGCACGTCAGATTGTCGTCTCCAATTTATGACAACCTGTATAACATATGGAAGGATTTGACTACGAGAACGGATGTGAAGATAACAATGCTGAAAGCAGTCGTATTCCTAATGTTTATGTACAGTCTCAAACATCTGCTGTCCTGGAGTATCATGAAGTTCGTTTAGACAGCTTCCAACAACGCTGTCTGAACAGCATCCTCAAAGTGCGAGGTTTCACCGGCCTGAGAAAACTATCAGATGAATTCAGAGGCCGGCGCATGGCTTAGGTTGATAAAATGGCCCCAAAAAGAGAATAGAAATATATTCAAAACGTTTCTTCCTTGGAAACCGCGCAATAGTTGCAGACGCGTTGGAGGACAATACGCAAAATGGTTAAACCCCGTAGAAGCAGACCTACTTGAAAAAGAGGAATATCACCTTTACAGTAGCAATGAACGTGGCCTAATATGAATCTGAAGTACCATTTCTAACTGTCAGGCATCATAAAGTTCGGTTACTTTACTCTTCTCTTTGAATTCTGTAAGCCGCAAATAACCATGACCGAACAGTAACGTACACCTCAGGCTGGTTTTGCGGATGGAGAAAGATTTCGGCACCGAGCTCAGACGAGATAAGGTTTACGTGGTTAACTTTCTGCAAGGTTAAAAACATGTTGGGTGACGGCTTGTTTTCCCTCAGTGCATAAAGCAAATATTCTCAATACTGCCACGATACGTGGTGTATGTGAAGCGTGGAATACAGCGCCCGTTGAAAAATGAGAAGTTCAGATCGCGTGGAGACCATAGAAAAGCGCATGAAGGGCGTCAGCCAGTTGGGCATGTAATAAATTCACCTCCACCTCAACGCAGCGTTAAAGACGTCTTAGCCTTTCGTGGAATAATAAGACATAATCTAGGCTTATGGCGAGAATGAAAACAACTTTTAGAGCATACTGTTTAATTAGTATCTGCTAAACAACCAAAGGGTGCCATGAAGGCAGTCGAGTTTCTCAGCTGATCCCTTATAGAAGACCCACGACTAAACGTCGATGGTAGTAATCCAGGAGGAAAACTTACTGAATAGCTGTGATTTGCACCGATGGAAAGAAGATGCTCACGAGATTTGCCACGGTGAACCACAGATCATCAAACGAAGCTAAGGTTCACCCAATGTCAGCCCCCTCCAAACATTACGTTCTTCAAGTCCGATAACTAGTCGTTCTTTCAAACTGTTACCTGTTTTTGATGGCTCACATAACCTTGAGCTACGCTGCCTACAAGCAAAGAAAATGATCTCATGAAGTGTAGTTTAAAGGTTGATTTTTGCGAAGTTCTCGTCCAGCCCGCCAAAACTGTCTAATGCATCAGAAATGAGTCTCGGTGAGGCAACCAGTTAGTGTTGGATATTTTTTCCCATCTATTTCATCTTAGCAGCAATTCAAATGTTGGAGCTAACTGAGACCTCTAGAAACGACGGTTTCGGAACCGCATTTTTGACAGTCCTTAACTTAGATTCAAGGAAGTAGGTAAAATGAGTTTAGATGTGTTCTGAAGCTGCGGGAAATTTCCATGTTAGACTTATGATTTCTGAATCGATTACAGAATAATGATCATAATATACTACTGTATTAAGTGGAATCAAATTAGTAGACATGTATGGTAAAAAGATCGGGTACTATCATGCTTCTGCACCTAGTGATACATTGATTACCATAGTATAGATGGTATGCACCACAGAAATTGAGTGAGTTAAGTGACATTTTACTGAACTATGCCTTGCTTGGCTAATCCCCATAGATAACTAAAGGTTACCGTTTTGCCTTATCAGGGATTGATGGTGCCTGAATTACAGACCCGATATCTTTTAGAATGCGGACAGAACGTTGGCGAAATGTTTGAATTACCCTTTCTTGTTTACAGTGCATATATAATACGCTCATTGGACTGCTAAGCTCTTTTCTTGCGAGAAGGAAACTGATCGATCGATGACTGTCGCGAATATACTATCCATCTGCCATAAGCTGAAAGGAGATCACTTCGCGTACATGGTATAATTTGTCACAAAAGAGAGATAAATAGTGTAGTGGATTTCAGGAAATGGTCAGTAAGCAAATCTACAAAATTTGCGGTATGTCAGACAGGAAGAATGCGAACAGAGCGACATACCCGATACCCAAACTGACTCAAAATGATACCAAGAGGAATATGGTTATTCAGGGCATTAAGAATTTTCTTGGTCACGCTCTGAACCTAGGATTCGATTCCAAAGTAGGCAATGCAATGATTTCAGTA